TCCCTGGGCACTATGGGTAATTTCCCACGGCTAACCCACCCTAACCCGCACATCCCTGGGCACTATGGGCAATTTTCCATGGCTAACCCACCCTGACCTGCACACCCTTGGGTGCGTGCACGCACAAGCACACGCACCTGTCTCTCTCTCTCTCTCGCTCTCTCGCTCACTGGCACGCACACACTAATTTCTTTCCTCTGTTCTGCCAGCTGTTTGTTTTCACCGATGGCAAGGTGTCGAACACAAAGATGGTGATTGACGAGGTTCGGAAGAATGCCCACAGTCACAGGTAACAGGATCTGGGCTGTCGGGCCTCTCTCTCAGTGGGCACGGGGGTCGGATGTGGTCTGTGCCCTTGAGCTGGGCACACCCGGAGCCCCGGAGACGGGGTGCAGTTCTTCGAATGTGCGTTCCGCAGTGATTGCCACAGAGTGAAAGTTCCCTAAACTTTCCAAAAGATCCCCCTTACCCTGCAACCCTTGGCCTCTCCAGAATACTCATTCCCCGTGTTCTGCTTGGCTGAACATGAGGCATTGTCAAAGCGGCTGGTATTGAGTGAGACGCTGAGCCAAGGGCTCTCTCTTGGGTGGAAGTAAAGATCACATTCGCCACTATTGGAGGAAAATCGAGTTTGGAGGCTAGATCTCAGCGGCTCCCCACCTCCCCAAAGGCAGATCTTTAGCCCCCAGCCGACATCACCAGTAGACACATGTTCTGAGCCCATTGATCTTACAAAGCACCCATGGGTGGCTGTACCGCTGCAATTGCAGTCGGACAACAGATTAACGAGAGGCCTCATTGGCTGTAAACTTCACTTTGTTAACGTGATCATTGAATCGTGGAATCACTACAGTGCGGAGAGTGGCCATTCATCCCGTCGGGTTCACACCGAAACTCCAACCAGCATTCCACCCAGACACTCTACCCCCCACCTTCTCCCTGTAACCCTCATTTCCCACGGCTAACCCACCTTAGTCGGCACATCCCTGGGCACAATGGGTAATTTCCCACGGCTAACCCACCCTAACCCGTACATCCCCGGGCACTATGGGTAATTTCCCACGGCTAACCCACCCTAACCCGCACATCCCTGGGCACTATGGGTAATTTCCCACGGCTAACCCACCCTAACCCCCACATCCCTGTGCACTATGGGTAATTTCCCACAGCTAATCCACCCTAACCCGCACATCCCTGGGCACTTTGGGTAATTTCCCATGGCTAACCCACCCTAACCTACACATCCCTGGGCACTATGGGTAATTTCCCATGGCTATCCCACCTAACCTGCACATCCCTGGGCACTATGGGTAATTTCCCACAGCTAACCCACCCTAACCCGCACATCCCTGGGCACTATGGGTAATTCCTCACGGCTAACCCACCCTAACCCGCACATCCCTGGGCACTATGGATAATTTCCCATGGCTAACCCACCCTAACCCGCACATCCCTGGGCACTATGGGTAATTTCCCATGGCTAACCCACCCTAACCTGCACACCTTTGGACTGTGGGAGGAAACTGGAGCACCCGGAGGAAACCCACGCAGACACGGGGAAAATGTGCAAACTCCACACAGATAGTAGCCCTAGGGTGGGATCGAACCTGGGTCCCTGATGCTGTGAGGCAGCAGTGCTATCCAGAGCCACTGTGATGAATGGGACTATGTGTAAGATGGCAATGCAAAGATCTTCCCCCTCAAGCCTCAAGCCCTACTGCAGCGAAAACCTTTGATTGAGGGAACTGGAGAAGGCCTGGCCATTGAGACCGCTCAGCCCTTTGATCGCATTCTGTCACGGCGCTCCCCTCCCCTCCCGGCTGTTCTGCTGTACATAATCTGACTGGTCCCTCCTTTCCAGGTGCTTCTCCTTTGGGATCGGTCAGGGGGCCTCGACACAGCTCATCAAAGGCATCGCCAAGGCTGCCTCCGGGAACGCTGAGTTCATCACCGGCAAGGAGAGGATGCAGCCCAAGGTAGGCGGCATTTCTGAAGGTGACTGGGGCTAACCAGGGCAGGGGGAGCTGGGGATTAACCCTGAGCTCGATGGTGACTGGAGTTAATTCCCAAACACCAACAGTGACTGGAGAGGTGAGCGTCCAGTCCTTCAGCTGGGGGCGTGTCAGTTTCTTCAGCCACACTGAAGGAACGGCCGATATATTTCCAAGTTGGGATGGGGAGTGGACTCGGAGCGGGGGGAGCTTGCAGGGGGCTGGTGTTCCCATGTATCTGCTGCCCCCCGCACCCCTTGTCCTTCTAGATGGTAGAGGGACAGTGGGGGTTTGGAAGGTGCTGTCTGAAGAGCCACGGTGAGTCTCTGTAGGGCGTCTTGTAGATGGTACACACTGCTGCGTCTGTGCCTGAGCGGTGGGGGTAGCAGGTGTTTGTGGATGTGGTGCCAATCAAGTTGTGGGGGGGGAGCTGCTTTGTCACTGGGTGGTGTGGAGCTTCTCGAGTCTTGTCGGAGCTGCCCCCGTCCAAGGCAAGTGGGGAGTATCCCATCACCCTCCTGACTGTGTGCCTTGTCGATGGTGGGACAGGGCTTTGCGGGGTGGTGGTGGCGTGGAATTCAGTGATGGTAATGTCATTGAATGTCAAGGGGCAGTGGTTAGATTGGCTCTGATTGGAGCTGGTCACTTGCCACTTATCAGCCCAAGCCTCGATATTGTCCAGATCTTGTTGCATTTGGACATGGACTGCTTCAGTATCTGAGGAGTAGCGAAATAATGCAGATGATTGCTGTCATGAAATAGTAAATGAAAATGCAGACTTTATGAGCTACTGCTTATTAGTAACTTCTTGGTATTACAAACCTTAAAGATCGCTAAAGACAGACAGCTTTGTCACAGCTTTTTATAGAGTCATGCAGCACAGAAGCAGAGTCTAGGGGTTCAGGTCCATAATTCTTTGAAGTTTGTGTCCAGGTAGACAGTGGGGTTAAGAAGGTGTTTAGCATGCTTGCCTTCATTGCTCAGGCCTTTGAGTGCAGGAGCTGGGACGTGACTTTGCGGTTGTACAGGATGTTGGTGAGGCCTCTTCTGGAGAACTGTGTCCAGTTCTGGTCTCCCTGTTACAGGAAGGATATTATTATTAGACTGGAGAGGGTTCAGAAGAGATTTACCAGGATGTTGCTAGGTATGGAGGGTTTGAGTTATAGGGAGAGGCTGGACAGGCTGGGCCTTTATTTACTGGAGCGTTGGAGGTTGAGGGGTGACCTTATAGAGGTTGATAAAGTATAGTCATTCTTTCTGTCACCTTATCAGCATAACCCTCTATACTTTTCTTCCGTATGTACTAACCTACCTTCCGCTTACTTATGTCAGCGCTAGTCACCTCAATAGTACTGAGTACTGCTTTCGAACCATTTTTTGGGTATAGATATTTCATATAAAATTCTTTGCTGGATCTGCTGGTATATTGCTGTTGTATATGCGCAAAGCCCCTAGTTTTGTTTCAAATCGCTAAAAACCTAAAGGCAGCTTTACTCCCCTTATTACCGTTCCATGGATAAGACTTAATAACACAGAGGGAGGTTAAAACGTTGCCAACTAATTTTTCAGCTGGGGAGCTGGACTGCACTGAAGCACATGGCTTCTTGAAGATGGGATTTATTTCCTTCATTCATTCACGGGATGAGGGTGTCGCTGGCCGGGCCAGCATTTATTGCCCATCCCTAACAGAATTCCCAACCTTGATGCCAGACTGGGTAAGGACATTAGTGAACCAGATGGGGTTTTTTTTTCCCCTGACAATCGACAATAGGTTCATGGTCATCATTTTACATTCCTGATGTTTTATTGAATTCAAATTCCACCATCTGCCGTGGCGGGATTCGAGCCCTGGTCCCCAGAACATTACCCGGGTCTCAGGATTAACAGTCCAGCGATAATACCACTAGGCCATCGCCTCCCCCTAATGTGCATTTGGAAAATGGCTTTGTGCAGGGCAGATCATGTCTTATTAACTTGATTGAATTTTTCAAGGAGGTGATAAAGGTGATCAATGAGGGTAGAGCAGTGGATGTTGTTCATGTGGATTTTAGTAAAGCTTTTGACAAGGTCCCTCATATTAGACTCATCCAGAAGATTAAGATATATGGGATCCACAGTGACTTGGCCATTTGGATTCAGAATTTGTTTGCCCAAGAAGGCAGAGGGTGGTGGTGGAAGGGTGTTTTTCTGGCTGGAGGTCCATGACTAGTGGTGTTCTGTAGGGATCTGTACTGGGGCCTCTGCTGTTTGTGATATATATAAATGACTTGGATGAAAATGTAGATGTGTGGGTTAGTAATTTTGAAGATGACACAAAGATCAAAGGAATTCCGGATGGTGTAGAAGATTGTCAAAGGATACAGCGGGATATAGATCAGTTGCAGATAGGGGGGAAGAAATGGCAGATGGAGTTTAATCCGGCTAAGTGTGACGTGCTGCACTTTGGGAGATCAAATGTTAAGGAAAAGTATACAGTTAACGGCAGGATCCTGAACAGCATTGTTGTACAGAGGGATCTTGGGGTTCAAGTCCATAGCTCCCTGAAAGTGGCCAAGCAAGTAGAAGGCATATGGTGGTAAAGAAGGCATATGGCATGCTTATTGGTCAGGGAATTGAGTACAAGAGTCAGGATGTCATGTTGCAGCTTTATAAGACTTTGGTTAGGCCATACTTAGAGTGTTGCGTTAAATTCTGGTCGCCACATTACGGGAAAGATGTGGAGGCTTTGGAGAGGGTGCAGAAGAGGTTTACCAGGAGGCTGTCTGGATTAGAGGGTGTGAACTATAAGGAGAGGCTGGAGAATCTCAGGTTGTTTTCTCTGGAGCAGCAGACATTGAGGGAAGACTTGAAAGAAGTCTATAAAATTATGGGATGCATAGATAGGGTTGACAGTGAGAATCTTTTTCCCAGAGTTAAATGCCTAATACTAGGGGCATGCATTTAAGGTGAGAGGGGGGAAAGTTCAAAGGAGATATGAAGGATAAGTTTTTTTTACACAGAGTGATAGGAGTCTGGAACATGCTGCCAGGGCTGGTGGTGGAGACAGATATGTTAGGGGCATTTAAGGGGCTTTTAGATAAGCACATGGATATGCCAGAAATAGAGGGATATGGACCAAGGGCAGGCAGAAGGGATTAGTTTAATTTGGCATCACGTTCAGCACAATGTTGTGGGCTGTACAATTCTGTGTTCTACAAGGTGAATGGCAGGTGTCTTTTCCCTAGGGTGGGGGATTTCAAGACTAGGGGACACATTTTTAAGGTGAGAGGAGGAAGATTGAATAAAAACATGGAGGGGGGGGGAATGTTTTTTTACACAGAGTGGTTCGTGTGTGGAATGAACTTTGGGAAGAAGTGCTGGATGTGGGTCCTGGGGGTGTTTTAAAGATATTTGGATAAGTACACGACTAAATGTTTGAAGGGATTTTGCTCAAGCGCAGGCAGGGTGGGACTAGTTTAGTTTGGGATTAGCGTCGACACAGACTGGTTGGACCGAAGGGTCTGTTTCCGTGCTGCGTGACCCGATACAGAACAGCTGAGGCACTTATTCTCATCAGTTATCACAAGTTGCCTGGATGCTACTCTGTACGAATGGTTAGTGTTCTGAGATTGTGTTGTGGGGAGTCCTTGATTTATGCTGAGGTTATTTATGACTTATATTGAAGAACGTCTTCCCATTGGAACAGTGTAAGTGCGGGGGGATAGGGACTGTAAAAGTGGTGACTCCGACCGGGCCGATTCTTCCCAGAATGGACAATGGAATAAGGTCGGACCAGGGACTGTAACTTGAGGGTGGGAATGTTGAAGGATTGCAGTAGTGGTGAGCATGTGCTATGGGCAATGCGAGAAAGCACAGGGTGTTGGGAAGCCTCAGGCAGGATGCTGGGAGCGGATGGCGATGCAGATGTGAACTGCTTGCTGTTTTATCTACCTACACCGAGTAGAAAACAATGCCGCGATGTGAGTGCAGGGGCATTTTACACTTGGTTGACAGCAGTGTGAGTGCAAAACTGCTCGCGTTGTGACAGCGTATATTGCGCACCCTGTGCAGCGTGACACGGTATGACTGCACAATATTAGAATCGTAGAGAATGGAAACAGACCCTTCTCATCCACACCGACCAGATTATCCTAAATTAATCTAGTCCCATTTGCCAGCATTTGGCCCCAAGCCCTCCAAACCCTTCCTATCCATGTACCCATCCAGATGCCTTTTAAATGTTGTAACTGTACCGGCCTCCACCACTTCCTCTGGCAGCCCATTCCATACACGCACCACCCTCTGTGTGAAAATGTTGTCCCTCAGGTCCCTTTTAAATCTTTCCCCTCTCACCTTCAACCTGTGCCCCTCTAGTTTTGGACTCCCCCCACCCTGGGGGAAAAGACCTTGCTTATTCACCCCTATCTGTGCCCGTCATGATTTTATAAACCTCTACAAGGTCACCCCCTCCAGCCTCCGACGCTCCAGGGAAAATGGCCGCAGTCTATACTCACCCTATAGCTCAAACCCTCCAACCCCGGCAACATCCTTGTAAATCTTTTCTGCACCCTTTCCAGTTTTACAACATCCTTCCTACAGCAGGGAGACCAGAATTGATTCCAAAAGTGGCCCTAACCAATTTTCTGTACAGCTGCAACATGACCCTCCCAACTCCTATACTCAATGCACTGACCAATAAAGGCAAGCGTACCAAACACTTCCTTCACCGCCCTGTCTACCTGCAACTTCACTTTCAAGGAACTATGTACCTGCGACCCAAGGTTTCTCTGTTCAGCAACACTCCCCCAGGACCTTCCCATTAAGTGTAGAAGTCCTGCCCTGGTGTGCCTTCCCTAAAGCACTTTTAGTGCAGCACCTCACATTTATCCATGGCCTCTTCTTTGCTTTGTCAGACAAAGCAGTGTTTGCGGGATTGTAACGTAAAAGAAGTAAGAGCCTCTTTCAAACTGGCTGAGTTATACAAATGAAATGGGAATCTACAAATGTCTGTTTGCGAACATGAAACAGAGGAGTTAAATGCCCATCCACCCTCCCAACAGTACATGAGTTCTCCCTGGTCCGACGTTTGTCTCGCTGCCGATGTGGCTGAAATCCAGTCATATCTGATTATGGGATCGTGCTGTGTAGAAATGGGATTGCGCTTCACCAGGGGCCAGTCAGTAATGGAGGCCCTTCACATGGAGATTGAAGTGTTGTGGGTTGTCCTGCGGGAGTGAAAAATACTGTTGAAATGCCAGCTGTGTGTCTCTCTCTCTCACTCTCTGTAGGTGCTTCAGAGTTTGAAGTTTGCTCTGCAGTCTGCTGCTTCAGGCCTGAGCATTGACTGGGAGCTGCCGGCTGGATTGGAGGCTGTCCTGTTATCCCAGCCGCCCACTGTCATCTTCAACTGTCAGCGATCC